ATGGTGCTAAAATTTTCTCGTAAAGTATTACCTAGGTTACCAAAAAGTGTAACTTTTTTTAAACGAACATGTGTATATATATATAAAATAGTGTTACATTAGAATCACACTAAATGTAACCGTATGTAATAATACTTACGCAAATGAACCAAATGATATATAATCATTACAATAGATGAACAAAATGTAATAGTATGAAACAGTAGTTACAGTAGTAGTAGTAGTAATAATAATAATAATAATAATAATAATAATAATAATAATTATTATTATTATTATTATTATTATTATTATTATAATAATAATAATAATAATAATAACAACAACAATAATAATAACAATAATAATAACAATAATAATAACAATAATAATAACAATAATAACAATAATAATAACAATAATAATAACAACAATAATAATAACAACAACAATAATAACAACAATAATAATAACATCAATAATAATAACAACAACAATAATAACAACAACGACAATGATAATGATGATGATGATGATGATGATGATGATGATCATAATAATAATAATAATAATAATAATAATAATAATATATGGTCTGGTCTGATCTGTTTTAGTCTGGTCTGGTATGGTTTGGTCTGTTTTGGTCTGGTCTGGTCTGGTCTGGTATGGGAGGAATTACAGTTCAAGTAATTAAAAACAACCTTAGATTAAATTTAATGGCTAATAAAAGATGAAAAATACATACACACACATATATATAGATGAATGATCATGTCCAGCTGGAGGGACAAGACTCTCCATCCGACCGTTACCGTTTGAGACAGTTCCCGATAGAAGTTTTTGATCAAATATTGTTTTGACCATGTTCATCATCAAGTCTAGTTTATCTACAAAACAATTCAGCTGAAAATTTGATTGGGAAGGCAATCAAAAAAATTGTTGAAGAAAATTGCGCCAAATTATCCATTAAAAGAGACAATGGAGATTTTAGAAAAATATTTTGTACTTTATTTACCAAATATTTAGATTTAATTAATAAAGATAACTATTTAGAAAATATGTTCGTCTAAAAACTTTATTTATAAGGATTTTTGTATTTAATTATCTCGTTTAGAAATTGCCCAATATAGAAGTAAACATAAACATAATTGCACAAATAGAAGTAAAACTTAATACTTTCTTCAATAGGAGTAAACATTAATTTTGTACCCTTAATATCCCTACCCTAGTTAATTCTAAAATATGACTTATTTAATCTTAACCTAGTTAATTTATGAAAAAGACAAATTTGTGACCTATTTTAAATTTTTCCAAAAATGCGACTAAAAGTCATATTCCATGTATTTAATCATTTTAATATTCATTTTATCTATTTTTGATTAGTAGTCCTATGACTGCCCACCGCCGCCCACCACCGGTACCACCGTCACTGTCGGCGCTGCCAAAGTGACTCTGGTCAAAATGACTGTCCCACCGGCTACGATGACTGCCCCACCGATTAGTCACTCCACTCACAGTGACTTCACACACACCGGTCATAGTGAATGCCTGCCACCCTAGTGACTCGACCACAATCACTCCGGCGGGTGACTGTCCCCAATCAGTGACAGTCGTCTCCCTCATTCAGTGACTGCGGCCCCAAGCCTGTGATTACCGCCCCCGGGCCGGTGACTGCCACCCTGCCCTCAAACTAGTCATTGCACACCAGCCCCAGGCACCTTGTTATTACGCACCCACCACCACAGTGATGTTGCACCGCCGTAACGCCGCTGCCGACCACCGTCGCAGACCACCGCCCTGGCCTCCAGCCACCTCCCCAACCTCGTCTCATCCCACAGCCACCTCCTCAACCCCAGCAACCTCCCAATCCCCCAAGACTCCTCCCCAGTCCCTGGCGGCGGCGGCGGCAGCCAAAGACCAGCCTATCTTGCACCACTTCCCCAACCAACCAATACGAGAGCCCGCCACAGCGTTTATAGCCCCGCCACGACCCCACCAGCCATATCACCGTCCCAACCTAACTTGATCGCCGGGTGAAAAGAAATGCGAAGAAGATGATGAGAGAAATTGTGGCGGCGGAGAGGAGAGATGACGGCGGTAGCAGCAAGAAGAGCGGCGGCAGCGGCAGGAAGAGCGGCGGCGAAGAAGCTGTGGTGGCTCCAAGGTCTAAGAAATTGATCAAGACTAGAGAGGCTAGGTTGGATGAAGTTGAAATTAGGGTTGAATGCAAAAGCTAAATTGGGCCATACGGAGGCTCCAAGATACCATGTTCTACGGGAGCATCATTGGGTTAAGTCATATTTAGGGAAATTAAAATTAAAGTCATATTTTTGGAAATGTAAAGCTCCCTAGTAATATTAAGGTCATTCTTTCTTAATTTATGACTTATTCGATAATAATTTATTTATTTTTCAAAAAATAAAAAAATATAATTTTTTAAAAAAATAAAAAACTCAAAAAAATAAAATAAAATTTACCGCCTCCTCTGCCGGCTCTGCACCATCACCTCTAGTCATCAGGGGAAAAAGTGCCAAGTTCATTACGAATGCCATATTTATGGCAGAAAATAATGAAAATGTTGGCATTCGCAAAGAGAAATATGTCATGTTTTTGGCATTTTCAGAAAAAATGACAGTTTTTAGGAAAAATGGAATTTTTTTCACCGCTTGGAGGTGGTGGTGCAGGAAGGTTGTACGGGCGGTGGGAAAGACATCCATATTTTTTTTAATTTTTTTTATGGAGTTTTACTATTTTTTATTAATTTTTTAAAAAACTAAAAAAATCAAAAAAAATCTAGATGATTATGGTAAAAATCTAGTTTTACCATAGATTTTTAAAAAAAGTCCATGGTGGCGGCAGCACTCCGGCAGCGGCCGGTGGTGGATTCCGGCAGCGGCCGGCGGCAGATTCCGGCAGCGGCGACGGCAACTCCGGCAATTAATTAACTCAATCAATTGCCCCCATAGTTCTCTTGCACAACCAAGGCAGTCCGTTGGTAGCGGGGCAGTCCGGAGGTGGCGGCAGCTCGGCGGCAGCGGAAGAGGCGGTTTCCAGCGGCGGCGGCGGCCGACAACATGTGGCGACAGAATGTTGGCAAACCTCCAGAAAAAAAATATGGAATTTTTCCGACGGCGGCGGCATGCGGCGGTCCGGCAGTGGCGGCGGCAGTGTAGCAGCAGTGGCGGCGGTTTCCGGCGGCGGCAAGAAAATAACAGACATTAAATAGACAATAAATAGACAATAAGTAGACAATAAATAAACAATAAATTCTGATAAAAACCATTGCGGCGGCGGAGAACATCGGCGGCGACGATGGCGGCGGCGTGTGGCGGCGGCGGCAGAATCTGGCAGTCTGCCAGATATTTTTTGGAATTTTACGGCGGCGGCGGCGGCCAGAGGTCTGGCGGCATGCGGTGGTGGCCGGAGGTCTGGCAGCAGCCGACTGGCCGGAGGTCCAGGGGCAGCAGTGGGGTATTTTGGTCCAATCACACATAAAAATCCTATTTAAGAATGTTTAAACTAATTGGTCCTATTTTGAGAAAAAAGCCATGTTTTGGTACTATTAAGGTAAATCTCCCTTAATGTAAATAGCTTTGACATTAATGTAGTTTGTCTTATAATAAATATTATCAAGTATTAATACTCCTGAAATTAAGATTGTATACCAACATGTATGGGAAAAGTCCTCAAATAGGTGTAAAAAAGTATGAAAATTCTAAAATAGGATTGTCATTTTTTATTCCCAAAATAGGAGTAATTATTGCCAAATTTGGAAAATACATCTATGTTTAATGTCTGGTATTGTCAAAACATGGTATTAATTAGTCCTATTTTGGGAATAAAAACATAATAGACATATTTTGGAATTTACAAACATTTTTAGTCCTATTTAGGGTGATTTCTCAAGTATTTATAAAATATTTTTCATCACACCTGACATCATTTTATTCACTTTAATAATGAGATTGAAAAACTTTACATGTCTGGTTATTATTATCTTTTGACTAAATCACCAAAATAAAATATTTTGATCGCATTGCATTATTTGCATCATATCATATAAGTCTCGATACAAGAGCACTTGCACTATATATACGCAATATGCAAGAAGGGTAGAACGACATGGTACACAAAGGAGACCGGTCGAATACCATCAGAATATAGAAAGAGCTTGTAATATGGCAACCAAGAAAGAGGAGACCATCCCACAAGAGCCACCTCCAGGTACAGAAAACATGATAAGAAATTACCCTAGACTAAAAATCTAGCCAAAAGTTTTAATATAATAGGAATACTTTTGTTTTGTTCCCTTTTATGATTGATAAACTCTTATTCAGATTCTTCAACGTTTATGTAATACTACGGTATCTAAGTACCTATGCATTTTTATTAATGTGTTGGCGGTGTTGCAGTTGAGAATGGCTCCAGAACAGGGGCGGACCCAGGAAAGTCATTTTGGGGGGGTGAAAATTTTTTTTTTTTTTGGGGGGGGGGGTTAAAATACTTTTTGGAAGAACAAAAATCATTTTTCGTATATATATATACACTAAAAAAAAAATTGTTGGGGGGCGGTAGCCCCCCTGGGTCACTACTACGGTCCGCCCCTGCTCCAGAATAGTTTCTCTACATTAGTTTATTAAGTCAATCGATTAAATTTTCCTCATTTATTTAATATCTCAGTAACCCTATGCACTTTTATTAATGTATTAGCGGTGTTGTAGTCGAGAATGACTCGATCGGGATGAGATTTTCTCTAGTATTTTCTAAAAATAACAAATTCAAACTGAACTAAATAAAGCGAAATCGACATGTCCACTTGTAATTTACAAATGGTTTGATGCATGAAACCATATACCTAGCATTGCTAACTTATTTTTTTAACCTTTTAGTTGGAACCATAAATATATTTACATAATTACATACATACTCCGTATATTTTTTTAACCTTTTAGTTGTAATTAAAAAAAAAACATACAGAGTACATACGTAGTACGATAGTATATTTTTAGCATCTTTGACCTCTTTTTTTGGACTGCAAAATTGAAGGTTATCCCACAACAAACTCCACATTGGGGGAAAAAAAGTATTGTTTCATGCAAAGCAAGTCAAGGGGGTGTAGTGCATGTTGGAAATATTGTCAGTAAGCAACATATATACAACAATTTTTTGTGTATACAAAATTTGTACAGACTTGACACACATTTGTACATAACAGTTCATCAACTCCCTACCTTTGTTGCCAAAATAACGTGGATTATGTGATTTGGATTGCTTAAACATGCAGCATGGACGATCTATTTTGGTATTTGGTTGGTGCTCCCACAATGTGGTGCTGCGACTTGTGCTCCAAATCTCCATCGCAGCCTGCCAAGTGAAATGAAGGAAGATCAAATCTCTATCTAATGATGTTCTAACTACGTAATACATAATCACATCAAGATCCAGTCACGTTATACGGGCGGACTTTGTTAAGTAATGTTTTCAATGTTAAGTTGTATCTAATGCATGTAGAATCACTTCTGCACTTTCGTCCAAACACTCCAACTTCTGCTTCTGCTTCCTGAAGGAACGGAAGCAGTTTTAAGAATCAGATCCAAACACCCTCTAAGTGTCTCATTTCTTTTACATTCTTCGATACTGTCATTGTCAAATTAATTAAATTATCATTCTGAAAATCACTGTCCAACCATCTCCCCCTTTATTATATCTGCCGAGCCATACATTTATAGGTCCAAAACGAAACAGAGTCCTATTGAAATTAATCTATCTTGCTAAATAAGTCCAACACGGACTGAATAACTAAACAAGAATAACATAAATAATATTCCTAATAATAAGGAGTCCGCAATACGTAATACCCCCCCTCAAGTTGGAGCATGAGGATTACAAATGCCCAACTTGCGGAGTAGAAACTGAAATTGAGTCTTCCCCAATGCTTTGGTAAAAATATCTGCGAGCTGATAAGTGGTGGGAACATAAGAAGGAGCAATAAGGCGGTCCTGAATGGCATCACGAACAAAATGACAGTCCATTTCAATATGCTTAGTACGTTCATGAAAAACTGGATTTTGTGCAATATGAAGAGCAGACTGACTATCGCATAAGAGAGGAATGGTTTGGGGGTGATGAACTCCCAGACTCAAGAGTAAAGCTTTGAGCCACTTCAATTCACAAGTAGCTGCAGCCATAGAACGATATTCAGCTTCTGCCGAAGAACGTGCAACCGTGACTTGTTTCTTGGTTTTCCATGAAATAGGAGAATGACCCAGGAAAACAATCCATCCTGAAATAGACCGGCGAGTAATGGGACAAGCTGCCCAATCGGAATCACACCATCCAGTGAGAGAAAGAGCACTATCGGATCGAAGCAAAATTCCTTGACCGGGTGTCCCTTTCAAATAGCGAACAATACGTAGAGCAGCCAACCAATGGTCAGTTTTAGGACTCTGCATAAACTGGGATAAAAGATGAATAGAGTAGGATAAATCAGGCCGTGTCACGGCTAAATAAATCAGACGACCAAGTAATCGTCTATATGGCAGCGGGTCGGCCAGGAGATCACTATTGGACCGAGCCAAACAATGATTAATGTCAATAGGCGTGGCAGCAGGTTTGGCACCTAGCAACCCTGATTCAGTGATAATATCCAACGTATATTTACGTTGACTGAGAAATAATCCATCCGGGCTACGAGCAACTTCAATGCCCAAAAAATATTTGAGCACACCCAAATCCTTCATGTGAAAACATGAATGCAAATAATTCTTAAACATGGAAATTGTAGTAGAATTATTGCCAGAAATAATTAAATCGTCCACGTAAACTAGCACATTTACTTGTGTCCCACCCCGGGAACACGTAAAAAGAGAATAGTCAGCACAAGATTGAACAAACCCATACGCATGAAGAGCAGCCACCAATTTTGCAAACCAGCATCGAGGGGCCTGTTTTAATCCATAGAGAGATTTACGCAAGCGACACACCTGATTGGAGGAGACAGAGAAACCCGGAGGACATTTCATGTACACCTCTTCATCTAAATCACCATGCAAAAACGCATTATGAACATCCATCTGATGGAGTTCCCAGTTCTTAGTTACAGCAACAGCCAAAAAAGCACGAACAGTAACTAATTTAGCAACCGGAGCAAATGTCTCATTATAATCAATACCTTCTACCTGATGATTCCCGAGCACCACCAAACGAGCTTTAAGACGTTCAATTCTACCATCAGCGTGATATTTTATCTTGTATACCCATCGGCTCCCCAAAGCTTTCTTTCCAGAAGGAAGAGCTGTCAACTCCCAGGTTCCATTATCTTCCAATGCTTTAATTTCAGTTTGCATGGCTTGGCGCCAGCCTGGGTCACTCATGGCTTCGCGAAAGGTACGTGGTTCACGACCACTAGTAACAGCAGCAAGAAACTGCACATGTTTGGAAGAAAACTTGTCACACGTAATATAATGTGTTATAGGAAAAGGATTACCTGAGGATAACTGTTGGTTCGAGTGAGAAGCAGGTGGACGTTGAGGAAGCACAGTGTGTGTCACGTAGTCTTTTAGCTTTACAGATGGCAACTTGGTTCGTTCACTGCGTCGAAGTGGAACCTCAATTAGTGGTGAGTCTGGCGCAGCATGGGTGGCTTCTGAAGTAGGCGGCTGAACACTAGCAGGTACTGTAGAAGCAATAGGAGGTGTAGAACTTAATGCTTCCGGGTAAGGAGGAGTATCATAGGTCAACTCAAACACTTCAGTGGAGGGAATATGCAAAGTATCATCCAAGGAAATATTTGGTGTAGATCGTGCATTGGAGTCGAAAAAGGGGAATATGTTTTCAAAGAACTTAACATCACGTGAAATAAATATCTCTGAAGTTTCTAGATCAAACAATCTCCAACCTTTTTTTCCAAAAGGGTGGCCTAAAAATATACATTTACGACTCCTGGAAGCAAACTTATCACCCTTGGTCCGTTGATTATGAGCATAGCATAAACAACCAAAAATCCGTATATTATCATAACGAGGAGCTTGATTATACAACATCTCAAAAGGAGTTTTTCCATCCAATATTTTTGAGGGAGTGCGATTAATCAAATATCCAGCAGTTAATATGCACTCTCCCCAGAATTGTATAGGTAAATTGCCTTGGAAACGCAAAGCACGTGCAATATTTAAAATATGCCTGTGTTTACGTTCCACCCTCCCATTTTGTTGCGGTGTCCCCACACAAGAAGTTTCAAAAATAATTCCATGGTGATGAAAATATTTTTTAAGGCCAAAAAACTCCGTTCCATTATCACTTTGGACACGTTGTATTTTCTTAGAAAATTGACATTGCACCATAGCAATAAAAGACATGAATTGGGCATACACTTCCTTTTTGTCCATCAACAAATAAATCCAAACGGCACAGGAGAAATCATCAACAATAGTGAGAAAACTTTTAGCACCACTAGTAGAAACAGTTTGATAAGGCCCCCACAAATCCAAATGAACCAAATCGAACATAGCTAAAGCTTTATTATCACTTAAAGGAAAAGAATGACGAGTTTGTTTAGCACGAAAACAAATATCACAAGGTGAAGTAACACGATCTCTAACAAAGGGAATTGTTTTGAGTACATGCTCTGAAGGGTGTCCCATACGTTTGTGCCATAAATCAGCGGAGACTTCAATCCCATTGACCACACACTGTTTTGGAACTTCCTTAAAGTAGTACAGTCCATTCCGCCTTTCACCCGTTCCAATCAGCCTCCTCGAGCGTTGGTCCTGTATAACACAAATATTAGTGACAAATTGAACAAAACATTCCATATCATCCGTAAGCTGAGACACCGAAATCAGATTACAACACAAATTTGGCACATAAAGAACATTTGTCAGAGAGATTGCATCAGACAGAATTACGGTGCCCTCCTTTGTCGCTATCACACTCTGACCATTGGGCAGATTTACTGGACAATCTCGAACAGTGGACACATTTGTTAAATATTCAATATTACCGGTGACATGATTCGTGGCTCCGGTATCAAGTATCCATAAAGAAGGATTAAATTTACCTGTCATACGGTCAGTATGTGAGTTTGTATTACCGAATGCTGCTGTCAAGGCTTTCCACTGTTCAGCGGTAAAACTCGGAAGCGCGAGTGAAGGAGTTTGAATGTTATTCCTTTGATCTGGAGTGATCTATCCAGACTGCTCAGTTGTTGCCGTTGCATGTGCTTGTACAGATGTATTCCCTCTTCCGGCAGAAGTTTTTCCCTTCCCGGCATGCTTACTATTACCCCGTGGACGATCTCCCCACCATTCGGGGTAACCGATGAGCTGAAAGCAGCCAGTTACCTCATGGCCCGGAAATTTACAATGAGTACACACCAGACCAGATTTGTCATTTTGTATTGCCTTCCTTGGACTTCGGTTCTGGGTATTAACTGCAAAGCTCATAACATCTTGTTTTTCTTCCTTTCGTTGTACGGTAGTACGTACCCTTTCTTCCTGAACAACCTGGTGATAAGCTCTATTCAAATTGGGCAAAGGTACTTGAGAAAGTAACGTTGACCGCAACTGTCCATACAATTCCGAGGAAAGCCCCATCATGAAATGATGAAACCTCTCGTTTTCCCTTCGTTTAGCATGTTGTTCACCAAGTTTGCACGTACATTTACCACACTTACATGTCAGCAAAGGTTCGTAATTGTTAAGTTCATCCCACCAAACCTTTAGCTGACCGTAGTAATTTCCGATGGTCATGGACGCATTCTGCTCACTTCTTGCGATATTCACTTTTAGTTGATGAATTTTTGGTCCATCAACAACAGCAAACCTTTCTTTCAAATCATCCCACAGAAGCTTGGCATCCTCGTACTGAGAAAGTGTGCGTCGAACATCTGGTGTAATCACGTTCATCAACCAAGAAACAAGCATTGAATGTATGGTCATCCAATCATCTTCTGTACATTGATCTTCATATGTGAGAATGGTTCCATCAACAAACACGAATTTACGTCGTGCACGCAGCGCTAAACGAACTGATCCGGCCCATTCATCGTAATTTTCACCATTAAGACGTACCGGAGTAATATAGTCTCCGGGTCGGTCTTGTGGTCCGAGGAAGAAAGGCGAGGTGTAATCTATTTTCTTAGGAGCAGCGTCGCCATCATCACTATCGCTACTATCTTTTTCATTGGACATATTTACGTCGTATTCACGCTCAATTGAGCGCAGGCTCTGATACCATGAAAATCACTGTCCAACCATCTCCCCCTTTATTATATCTGCCGAGCCATACATTTATAGGTCCAAAACGAAACAGAGTCCTATTGAAATTAATCTATCTTGCTAAATAAGTCCAACACGGACTGAATAACTAAACAAGAATAACATAAATAATATTCCTAATAATAAGGAGTCCGCAATACGTAATACATTCTTAAGTAATTATGTGGATTATGGAAAAAGGGAAAACATAAATCACTATATCTTGCCTCTACATATTACGGTCCCATTTATAGCAATTAAATGAGACAATTCTCTAACTAAGACTAAAAGATGACAAAAGTGCAAACATAAGACCTTAATGTTCCGTAGGAGTACACAAAAGTACCATTAATGAAAGTCTGGTTTATTTATTGACAAATGCTACACGTAGGAGTACAACTGTATATCAATATATTACTGCACCAGATGTGGTGTACAAAGGGTATAAGTGGAACTCTATGTTGCCCATTTGGTGGTTAGCGATTCGTGCTACTTCTTTGGGTGTGACCATCTCAGCATCTGATCTAATTAAGGGCGTCTCTTGATCGAGTGTAGATGGAGTTTGTTGGAAGATAGGTGGAGCGTTTTTAACTATTGGTTCTTTGTAACTTTTGGTTCGTTTGATATTTATTTATAACTTTATTTTCCTTTAAGAAAAAAATGGGAGCAGTCAATTAATAGCTCTCATTCAGGAAATAAATCATTAGGAACTCCTATTTTGGAACTTTCTTACTATTTTACTCCTATTTAGGGTAATAACTTCAATTAAATGTTTTTTAAGTTTTTTTAGCAACTAAATGCATTAACAGTTATGGAAGGACCTTAAAGAATGATTAGTGGTTGTCGACAACCAATTGAATACACCAACTAAAGGCGGATTTAGTAAATAAATCTCCTCTAAATGATGATTCACCATACCACTTGCGGCTTCATATTCCCAAACCTTACCCTCTACTTCATTCAAGCTGCCTCTTTCTTTGCCCCCATTTCTCTCATCAATCCCTTCATTTCTTTAACATCCATCCATCTTCCCTCTCTCACATTCAAATTCCTTAACATTACATATATTCCATCATTCCACGGCTCCATCTCAATCGCCTTATCTTTCACCTTCTCCGCCTTCCTCACATCTTTAGCATATCCACGCGTGAATAGATCGAAAGGAACCGAGTGTTATCCAACTGGCCTAGCTCGTATGGCATGAAGCACTCAATCAATCTAGCATTCAGCTTCTTTCATTGGGAGTGAACTCGTATTTCTCCATTGGTTTGAACCATCCGTTCCCTTCTTCAACTAAACATCCATGGTTGCAAGCTGAAACAATGGCTACCATGGTTATGCTATTCGGTTTCCACCCACTACTTTTCATTTGTTCAAATACATCTAATGCTTTCTTAGCACAGACGTTAATTGCCAATCCATTTGACATTGCATCCAAGTGATGTGTCTTTAATGATCCCTATCCCATCAAAAAAAGTGCGACTTTTCCTATTTCACCGCACTTGGCAATACATATCAACTGACAACTGGTGCAGTGGAAATGTTTGGATCCTTTTAAATCCAGTCCTGGATTTACTCATTATCTATTCTATTACAAGAATACACTACCTTGCCTCTAAAAACATACCGTTTATATTGACTTCTTGGGTCAAAATGACGATAGAATTTAGACAATAATTTTAGTTATTATACTTGTATGAGAATTATAAATTTTACAAAAATACTTGGGAAAACCGGAAAAGTACGGGAAAGAATGTGTGGTTGTGCCCGTTTTCCGATAGACTCATGTGTTTCAATTTTTAACAAAGCGAGTCATGTGTCTAAACTTCGTTATCACAGAAGGGGCTCAAGGCCTGATGCCGTTTGAAATCGCCGAAGGAAGACAATGAACAGTAACTTTGAATTTCAAAAGTACTCGAAAAATTAAAAGAAAAATACTAGAAGGTGTACCTCGTCATAAGAGAATCAAAGTCAAGTGAATTGAGAAACTTACGGACGACCTCCATTGGAGGTCTGCCTTTTGTGAAGTGCAAGCCGCTAGAATCTTTACGGCGATACATACCTTGTGTCGCCCGAATTGAAGATTTGAGAGTTCATCTAGAGAAGGATGAATCTTTTGGATTCCGATTACCGTTGCTCCACAAGACGCTTGGGGGCATTCTTGCGGAAGGGGAGTTGCCATGGTCCAGCGAAATCGATTAGAGGCGGCTAGGGTTATCGCTGGAGCTTCCCTATACCACCGAGGCACCGATGACGCCATGACAGGACAAAACTTGTAACAGTTACAGGATGCTTAGGAATGGGATGATGATGACGGGATTTTTTCCAACACCTAATTCATGTTAGAGATTTTCCGAATTAATTTCTTTTTTTAAGTGAATAGAACTACCTCCATTAATGTAGCACTTTATTGCACTCACCCAGATTAAACTAAGGGCATCCTCATTGGGAGGATTATTATGAGATTAATTTGGTGACATGGAAGTTTTTTTAGAGAATTATCATTGAGTGACATAGATTATTTAATGAGATTATTTACTACAATAATCTGGGATCAAAATATGAATCCGGATTATTTTAAGATTATTTGAAAAATATATGTAATAGAGATTAATGCAAGACAGAGAAAAAATAGATTATTTGAAGATGGTGATTGAGAGACATAAACAAATTTTGAGATTATTTAATAATTAATTATATAACAATATTTAAATTGTAAGAATCATAGAAAAAATTGATTATTAGAGATCATGAATGGAGATGCTCTAATAACTTTCCAAACAACATTTTTGCATATGTTACTCAAGTTCACGTTATTTTGCCCAATTTTTACTAAACCCATGTTCACTAAGCTAGTAAGCTCATTGTTGTTGCTTAAGCTCAGCCTTCCCCAAATAGAGTATTGAAGTATTCTTCTTTTAAATAACAAATGGAATCAATAACTTTTTACTTAAAACTAGATCTTTAAAAAATTTAACCAAAGGATCCCTTAATGCCCTGCAAGATATCTTACTATTGCCTTCCACTATTGGGTGTACCCCGTTCCAACCAGGTTTCTTTAACAAGACCGGAAATAGAGAATGGGTCTGGAACCTGTCAAACTCATGATTCGTTCCACTCCACAACCTACCAGTTCCAGTCCAATTCCAATCACCGCTCTAGGGGTCGCAGGGTCGGTGAGGGGGAACCAGCCTGACCGGAACTCTAATCGGACGGGAACCAGCCCAAATCCACCTTACTGCCACCCCACCATTGTTGTCTAGCACCTCACTAAACATGTGACATTGTAAAATTATAAAGTACTACGTATAAAATAATCTTGTCCTATATACGTCTTGGCTTGCATTATAAAATTGCAACATGGGAATAAACTCACACTCAGCTAACGTCTTGGCTTGCATTATAAAATTGCAACATGGGAATAAACTCACACTCAGCTAACATCCAGACGCTCAATGATTTCAAAATGCATCGGCAAATTTGGGGGCATGTTACCAAAATACAACCGCTCACGAATATGCACTCTCCCCATGTTTCTATGAGCAACTCCTTTAAGAAGCCGAAAGAGTTCATCCTTCTCTTCTTTAATCCAACTTCGCCTGACATCATACCACTGCCTGGGGGTCCCATGTAAGAAAAACCGAATGCCGGGCGCTCCTTTATCAAATCGTTCAGAAATTTTGTCAAACACATCTTGGTTGGTGATGTATGCTCCTTTACTGTTCAGACCAACATCAACGTAGTGGAACTCAGCAATGCTGTTTACAAAACTTTCTTTGGAAGTAGGTATGATCTTGTCTTTGTTTGCTTGGGGGTCTTTATCTTCAGGGGAGTGAGCTGGGGAGAGGGCAAGCTCGGCAAGAAGCTGGTTAAGTACAATTCCGCCCTTACTAAAACCTAGGAGTATAGTCCTAGGTTTGTCAAAAGACGGCGGCGTAGAAACCTCAGCAGTGAAAGGTTGTTTTAGCTTCTTCCCTGCAGTGATATTTTTAGCCTTGTAGAGAAACAATTGTCAGAGAAAATCGCTTATGTATCTCATTGGTCACTCTAGTCAGATATAGGTATTAAATGCTAATGCAATGGTTAGAAATGATAGTGTAATTACAAAACAAGAACCATCTTAAGTAACTTCACCAATTATATAAATATTATGCAAATTGGTTAGACGACACATGTATCAAGGTTTCAAATATATATTGCCAATTACTTGGAACTAGGAACACGCATGTAACCCCATTGATGTTTACAAAGGGGTTGATTACGGATCCGGGTTTGCTCAGATGAGGATTGTGAAAGGGGTTAAAAGGGGAGGGCTTTAGAGGGTTTGGTCTATGTCTAGAATATTGATATATATATAATGATACCCACCACACAAACACACACACACATATATCAGATTTTATAGATATAAGAAATTTGAAACATTGACCTAATATGTGATTATATAAAACTTTAATTAACAATTACTCATTTAAAAACATTCAATTATCATGATATGAGCCCTTTAAAAACCTTCGTCCAAACTCCAAAGAGATAATATATGTTTGTTTGAATGGAGGACTTTAAAGGGGAAGACTGGAGGGATTAGTCATTGACAAATGCAATAAATCATAATGTTAACCTTTAAATTTTATAAAATATCATATCTATATCAAGATACAGAGCAAGGATGCTTTAAATTGGACTGACATTTTCTGGTTTGGTATGGTTTGGTCTCTCTTTAAGTCTGGTCTGGTCTGAACTGGTCTGACCGGGTAATTGCCTAGTCTCTCTGTATTTTATAACTATCGAAGTCTGTTCTGGTCTGTTTAAGTCCAAGTAAAAACATTCCAAGTCCTCCTAAGCCTTCCCTTCCAAACCCTAAATCTAAAGTTCCATACACACCCTAAGGCTCTGTTAGAAATTTGTTTTTCAGAAAATAGTACATTTAGCAAAAGCACATCTGTTAAAAGAGCTATTGAAGTACGGAGTATTGAACAAAAATGATATGACAGAGTCTGCTATAGAAGGCAATAACTCATGAAAGGTTACAGCAGGTTTTGAAAAGGATATACTTTATGCAGGGATATTCTTGAAAATGGATAATCTAGAGGAAAAAGAAATAACTTTTCGAAAACAGTTCCAGATTTGGAGCTTTGGAATTTGCAGTTTATTTTTATAAGGCGTTTTAAAGTAAACGTGTTTTTGGAAATGGGGCAAACATGTAACCTTCAGCTTATTTCAAACAACTCCACCTTAACAATATTATTGTAATTAATTACCTCTTTCAGGCAATTCCACAAGAGCAAGACAATAGATGAAGATGCTGGGAATTCCTTTGCTTCATAAACTTTTGGCTCTCCAGAATAATTAATTGAAGGGATGAAGTCTTTGTAAACACCGAAAGGGCCATTGAATATGGGTGGTTCGACCACCCAAGCATTGATAGTGTCCCCAAATTTAGAAATCAAAATTTCAACAACTCTCTGCAAATCTGATAGCTTCTCAACTACTGGATTCCCACTCCCTTCAACTCGATCTCCACTGAAAAATATAGCATTTGCAGCAGGTACCTAACTCATTAGCAAAACTTCAATATTTCACCATATTATTATCCTTCTGTTCCACATTTCCATAAATTCAGTTGATCAAGACAAATTACTTTTGAAAAAAATTACTTTCAACGAATCAAAACAGACACAATCCTGGTGACTTATTCCAGAATATATGGGGAGATTGTGGGTTTAATGAAAAAGACCGACTGGATTCAACTAATCAATTCAGATGAATGATAACTCGAACGGAATATACGAAGGAAGAATTGATTACAGCAAACGTGTTGGGAGAAGGAGATAGGCGGAGGGACGCCGCAACCCGGAAGTACGTATTGCTGCTGCTTGTGTACAGCGGCACCTTCAGAATCCCAGTCCAGCGATCCATGATTCCAACGAAGGAAATGAGCAATAAAAAAACTGACAAAGAATTATGCCTGGAAGATATCAAATTTGAAAAAACAAGAATAGGGTTTGGCCATCGATCAAGAAAAGAATGGAAGAAATCAAATTTTAAGTGAGAAAGACAGCGACATTATAGTAATCACAAAGAAATTTAAATAAAAATAGTATAACAAATGTGTATTGTAATATACAAAAAATGTATATGTAGAACAGAAAATGAATTAGAAGGTTTCACCGAATGGGCAGGAGCAGGGGATGAATCGATGAGTGATGCCTTGAGTTCAGCAACGGGGGGACATCGGCTTTTGGGTCAAGGGTATCATCAACGCTTCACTAGCCCAAACACCAGCTACTGCGGAAGAGGTTTGTGAGTGTGTCTGCCATTTCTTCGTTGATTTCGGTGATTCCAATTAGGTCAAAAATCGATATTCAGTTGCGGATTTCGGTCCCAGAAAAGCACTATTCTTTAGAATAGCAAGGTTCTTTTTGCTTCATCAACTATTTCAACCAGGTTACTTTTTTAATCTCAAACACTTTCCTTCCTTTTTGGTAGTTTCAAAAGGGTGTTGCTTCCCGCACCACCAAAAGTGCTAAATCTAATCCTCATTGGACACATTTGTCCTTAATTATATACTCAGGCTCAAGTATACTTCATATACTTCTTAATATACTTCTTATAAGATTCAATAGAACTGCTTAAGTATACTTCTTATACTTCGTATACCCCTTTTAAATGAGTAATGTATAAAAAAACTCTAATCCTTTTAAAAATATTAAATAAATTTCAAATTATGTGTTATTATTAAATACATTATGATTTACTCCTATTTCCTTTCATACGTGCTTTCAATGATATATCAAGATTAAATAATTAAAAATATAAATACATTTTGAATTAAAAAATAAATACTATTGTCGTCCCAAATTGTTTTGCAAAGTAAATGATCTTTTATCAACCCATAGTAAAGTTAATTTCTCTCTATCTATATTAAAATCTACAAAATTGCAAAATCCAAATTAAAATTGAAATAAAAATTGATATTCTAATTAAGTGAATATAATGAATCTGTGTGACTCAAAAATGTCAATTTTGTAACTCAATTTAGGACGGAGGAAGTATAAAAATTGCATTAGTTGTTTATTACATGTGGAGCACAATTGCCTCAGAGCCCATTTGGAGACTATGTTTTTTGCCACATCAATATTGTATATCTAAAATTAAAAAAAGGTGAAATTCGTAAGAATAATCCATATTTTTAGGGATTCTACAATAATAATCCCTATTGGAGGTGTCTATAACAATAATCTGAACTATCAGTAGTGTCCACCAGAATAAATTAGGGTGAATTTAAATTAATGTCCTTTTTAATACTATCAATCTCTACTCTCACTTTTCACTTCACCGCTCTTCTTATCGAAGTGAATTAAAACTAAATCTTGTTTATTTAATCTTAATGTCATTTCCGCCATATGTGGTTCTTTCTAGGATAGAAGATAGAAGTGTTACCCGAAAAGAAGAGTAATGAAGGGGAAAGTAGATATAAGATTTAGGAGATTTAAATGGGAAATAATTTTAATTTACCTCAATTTATTCTTGTGTACACTATTGCTAGTTCGGACTGAATTGGTTGAAGTTACTATATAAAATCATTTTTAGCTATTTTCATACATTTGTTTCTTTATTTTATTAATAAAATATAATTTAATTTTTTTCATAATTCAGCATCGGCTATTTCAACTACTTTAGCTGGAATTTCATTAATTTCAGAAGAATTGACCAATATAGTCAATTTCAAAGTTACCAAATATGCTCGATTATATAAAATTAGTTTTTTGCTTTATTATTTTATAGTTTTTCCAATCTATATGTTTTTTAATTTTATATGTTTTTAAAATATACATACACTAGATATTTATCTATCTGGCTAGACTTCAATAGAGTAAATCAAATTTAAAAATCCTAGACTTGGAAATTCCGGGCCAATCAACTCACATTATTTTATTTAGAATATACTCACGAGTTTCTTTTTTATTTGATACCAGTACCAATGTATTTATGTAACTTTAAGGATTCTGTAATTGGATTGATATCAATCTCAGACCAAACAAAATCAAATCGATCTTAAATAGATAAGATCCGACTATTTTTTTAGTTCAATTAAAAACATTCTAAAGATATTTTTAATGCATATTATACTAATTTGTTGTGCCTATGAGAGAAGATTTCTTACGGAGTATAAAAAGAAGAAAAGCACCCAGGTTTTAAAGTTTGGCAATGAAGATGTGCTTTGGTCATATTACTTAACATTTTTTAATAGAAGGTATAGCATCTTTCAAAAAAAATAACAGAAGGTGGAGCACGTACGTGTAGAATGCATTAACGCTAAGGGACTAATTTGTCAGTTTAACGTGAAAAATTGGTGCGCCTAGCATATCCAAGGGTGCGCGAAGTGGGAGCGTTTCAAAATAATTGCAACATTACCTGTTTTAGTGATAAGAAACACCCATAATGACTATACTGCCCTTAAATCCAATAAAGTAATACTCCATATTCGGTACTAAACCCATCTGCCACAAGTTCTTCTACCTTATCTTTTCACCCATTTGCCTATCCCTTCTTCCTCATTCCCATTTCTTCAATCCTTTCCTTCATTTTTTAATCCAAAAATTCATCCCATTTAGACATTTAGAGAAAATCCAACAAAAACAATTCTGAAGGAAGGTCTAAACCACAATTACCATCTCTTCTTAGTCATTTCCGTCGGTTGTGAGAGCTCAACCTCGGAGGTCCGCCATTAATGGCCGCGTGAAAACTTTTCTCACGACCCAACTCACCCAAGCAGCAACAACAGCTTTAATGGTCTCCATGAACGAAGGTAGCAGCAAAACAAAGTGGGTCCTCCGCTTTCACCGATTACACCCGCTGCCTAATTGCCTAGTGAATCCGGGTTAACCAGATTTCTGCCAGATCAGACCTAATTACATGAAATTAATTCAATTGAGCCTAGCTAATCATTACTAAGTTCTTACCGCTCTCGCGGCGTAGACTACAATAAATTAGGGGACCAGGTTGATCTCTCATGCGAGAGGATCCTAAATTATTGCCAAGACGAGCGAGCTTACGACCCCTTAATCGCTACTAATCTCTTAGCGAATGATTAAGTGTGTGTGAATGTGTACTAGAATAAATTAGATCTCTCTTAATTTATTCTACAAGCAATTGTAATTCTAGCCGCGGTTCCAGGTTACAAAAGATATCAATTAAATTATTCAAACACAAATTAAACGACATTTATGCAATTAACTCATCAAGAATCTAGCCATACATCATGAATTCATGATCAACCCTTTCATCAATCCGAAATCCCTAATTAAAACTACTCACAATTCATAATTGAAGAATCAATAGAATTGGAATAAAAGAATTAATTGTCATTAATTAAAAAGGTGGAACTTACAAAGAATCCCAAAAGATTGATGAACAAGGCTGAAACGCCCTCTAAAATTCGTGCTAGGCACTCTCTCTAAGCTCCCCCTTGAAAACGGGGTTTACAGGCTATTTAAATAGAAAAATTGGGTAAAATTTGAGCTGAATTGGAATTTCCGGAGGCAAGCACAGTGTCAGGCACGATCGTGCCTTAGATCGTGCCTCCGGAGCAAAAACGCGCATTTTGGGCAGGCACGATCGTGCCTCCCTCCAGGCACGATCGTGCCTGCCTGGCAGTAGCTCCGCGATGCTTTCTCTTCACGCATGATCGTGCCTGACTTTGAGGACACGATCGTGCCTGACTTTGAGGACACGATCGTGCCTAATTAACTTCCGAATTGGGAAATGCTTCCTTCATGAAATTTGTAGATATTGAAGTTCTCTATCCACCCTAATATGTCGAATGTGATTTGAATCATCCAATCAAGAGATATGATCAAAACGGTGGAAGGTGTCATTCTGAAATTGCAGCAGAGATCATCTGATCATCTGACTTCATCGTCTGTTTTCACCTTCTTTCTCTCAGATTCTAGCAAAGGTGTCTTCATATTATTTGTATCCCTTGAAGTTATCTTTCATATGGACTTTGAATAGTGTACATTGAATGTTTCTACAAAGAGATATGATTGAACGATTGACAGAAGGTCATCCTGATCGCCGATTTCAAGCTCCATTCATCTTCTTTTGATCCTGTGGCCAATCCTAGAGCTCTTTTTCCTTCAAATCTTCATCGTGAACCTCCCACTGACCTCCAAAGCTCTCAAATCACTCTCGAATGCTTCTCAACTCATCCTGATTTCTTCTCAAGCGCCGGTGCTGAACTCTAAAATCCTCATTTGACTCCAAATGACACAAAACTCGAACCAACGTCAGGTAAACATAACTTGAGCTAAACTTGAAACTTGTAACACCTTAAAGCTAGGGAAAACCATCAAACTCGATCCCAACACGCATCAAATGCATGTCTAAAAACAGACTTATCACGCCGACGACTGAGGGCATCTCTGGCTAGCTGGAGGCTTCATCGGTTACGCATTAGCCTTCTCGCTCTATGCGTTTCCTAGATCTTCAAGGAGTTTGAAGCTCGCTGCTATGCTGGAGATTCCTTTCCTTCAAATTTCTTCTTTCTTTTTAGCAGACTCCAATGGTGGATTGAACACATTACAGAGAAAGTAATAAAAAAGTTGTAGGTGCAATACTGTTTGTATGAAGTACACGCGCAGAAAAGGGGTAGAATTGGGAAAAATTACTTGATGGCTCTTTCTTAATTTGTGAGCCATTGGACTATGTTGCATCTAATTTGGAACAGAGGATAGTAATAAGAAAAAGTAAGATTGTAGGTATTTTTCTAATTGTATTGGCTTAAGTTAACGCAGAAGATTATTTTTGCCATTTTTTCATTTAATTTTTTCTTTTTTTATTAATAAAATATACTAATATTTTTTATACTCCCTCTGTCCCTAAATGTTCTTCCAAATTAAAGTGGGACGGTGATTAAGAAAGTGAGAATTGTGTGGTGGAGAGTTGTGCAGAGGAGAGAGAAATGTTGTGAACCACAAATTCTTTACCAAAAAAGGAAAGTGAAGTTCTTTTTGGGACGGACGAAAAGAGAAAGTTGGAAGTAAATTTAGGGACGGAGGGAGTATAAATTTTTGCATAAATCAACAGAATCAACCAATCCAGCCACTTCAACCACAACTTCATAAATTTCAGCAGAATCAGTTAATATATTTGATTTGGGTATTACCAAACGAGCTCTAAAGTAAGTATTTTCAATTCCTTTTTCTGCATCTCTGAAATAATAAAAAGAATAATCGCCAAACGTCACTTCAAATATAATTTTGCCTATTGTTTTAAGGAATCGCTAGCCAAATTGTGGCATTAAACAAAATAGTTTTGGTGGCTTTGGAAGAGAAAGGTCGAGGTTAACCTTTTGTCCAGGGTGACAATCTATATCTATATTATACGAAGTATAATAAAACAAACCCTTGTGGAATGCTTTGGAGAATTTTTTGACA